ATAATTAACTGAAACTGTATAATCTTTTTACAAAACTAACTAAAACTAACTAATTATTGACAGAATATCCTTCGTTTTAGTTTTTGTCAGTTTATTTTAGGCCATGTGGACGGATTAAACAATTATTTATTTTTTACATCGAGCAGTTTTACTTTAGCTCCGGGCGGTTTACGGCACCTCATGGCCCATAATTGTCATTTGTTCACAATCTGCTGCTGCTCAGCGCTATGCAACAAAAGTTGAGAGAAAGCAGCAAAGTCAAATTTGGGATTTCTTTTAACATGACTGAGAGAAAAATAAAAGCAGGTGTCTTGTGGAAAGAAGCGATAAAATGGGTGGAATACGTCCCAAGGGGAAAAAACGCCATCAAGCTCGCCTAAGGTGGCTAACTGTGAGTATCTTGATAAGCTAGCTTCTTTCAGTATCTCTCTGCAGCCCAGCCAGGTCGCGCCAGGATGGAGAAACTATCGTCACCTTCCTAAAACAATCACCCCAGTYCTTTGTTGGCAAAATTGAGTTACTTGATTATTTTATGAAAGTGTTGCTATAATGGACGGGTGGTACGCCACCACCAGCAAAAAAGACAAACAGCAGCAGTTGGGCTTGTTTGTTGTTTGTTTTTTTCAGAGTAACGCCGGTGAGTAACACACAAGGGCAGCACCTGATCATAGTTTATATGTATGGCATTATATTAGATATTATGTGCAATAATGTCTTACAAAGAGAATTATGGTATTTTACAGAGTAGTGAGACATTTGAAGCAATGAAAGGTGGAGAGATGGAGGAAGTGCCGGTGAAGTCTGAAATTAGTTTAGTGAAATATGTATTAGCTTGTTGATGCTTTTTAAACATTGTTTTTTTATCATGAGAAGAACTGGTTCATTGAAAAGAGAGGAGAACAGGTGGAGCTTCAGGGGGTGAGGTCCTGTTTAAAAGCCATATTAATTATTTCATATATTGATTTTTTTTCATTATTTCCACAGTTATAAGAGTTTGGGTTAGGTTGTCAGCTGCAGAACAAGTCCCCACTAAAGTTCTGTACATTTATCTGGTGAAATGCTTCTCCATAGTGATCAATACATGAATTTTTTTCCTTGGGTAGTTTAAAATGAGCCACCTTTAGGCTCAGGAGTGTACCTCATCTCTGAAGCCATTTTGTATGTTTAGCAGCAATGCAGGGGCTGCACAAAGGAGACGAGGAGAGGAGGTACAGAGCTGGAGCTCTTGAAATAAATTAGTGAAAACTTTTACCCTTTAGGGTTACTGTAGGTTGTGCTGTAAACAGAGCCGACAGAATGAGATTTAATGCATACATCTGTAAATCAGTTGTATGATAAAAACCTTAACATATACTTTTATCTTCTGTAAGTCACTTGCTGGTGCTGTACATTACATGTAGTGTTCTCTGCTGTAAACATGATGATGTCATGCAGGGACATCAGAGGCAGGAAGTCAGAGTGAGGGAGAGACAGAAGCAGACCAACAGGTAAGTGAGAGGAACACAGAACAGATATTTTATATTATAAAATCTTGTGATGGCAATAGTATTTGTAAATATTGCAATGATGATACCAGATGTGATCTGTCTTTTTATTTCCTCTCGTTCTAATCTGTACTTCTTATTTTATGTGACCTTTTTTTTAGTATTTTTGGCAAAGTCCTTTTTGTCAGGTGTGAGCTTTTGCTACCATGAGACCCTGTCCTGCTGGTTAAATATTGAATTAGCATGAAATGGCCTCTGCTCCTTCTTCTTTCCCTTTTTAATTACCTTATAGAGCACCACACATCACTTTTTTTTTCCTTAATTAATTTCACCTCCCTGTTGCCCGACTGCYGGTTCGGGGACGGAGTCCGGAGGGGCGGCGGGCTGTCAGGTGGGGACCCGGGCTGCTGCGGGGTTTGGGGCCCGGGGGTGTTGCTGGGGAGGTTCTGCCRCTCCGCGCTCCCTGGGGCCGTTTGGACCCCCTGACCATGGCTCCTGATTGCTGCGGTCAGCGCGCTGTCCAGGGGTGGCTGTCGGAGTTCAGCGGGTGGTCGCTGGGGGCGGGCACCTGGTTGTCGATGGGGTGCAGGGGTGGTCGGGGGTATGGCCTCCCCACGGCGGGTGCGGTGGCCTGCCTCCAGCCTCCTCAAACCCCACCGTCAATCCGACCAATCACATCTCTTGGGCCATCTCCGCTCACATCGAAACCTCCGCCAATCACGAGTAGGGCCATCTCCGCCCACATTGAAACCTCCGCCAATCATGAGTAGGGCCGTCTCTGCCCACAGGACAAAACCTACTCCAGAGACCCCTTACTCGCTCAGTTTGCCCCTCGCGATGCAGCAGAGTGAAGCAGATGCCACACACACACACACACAGGAGGAGGGAAGGACAGAGAACTGAGCAGAGGAGAAGCAGTTTTTAACTAACTGTTCAGTTATCATGCGTAACAGACGTGTGGAACATGTCCCTTGCCCTCTGTCCCCCGCACTTTTTTCAGCCAAAACAACAGTTTAATCCGTTAAAAAGAATCTGTAACGTTTTTTTCCGGAGCTGTCTTTAAACGAACCATGAGCTAACRCCAGTGTACACCTGTGGATCAGAGCAGAGACGTGCTGCTGCTGAGATGAAACCAGCTAGGGCCAGCAAAAGGCAAAGAAAGTTTGCACAGTTTTTCCAAACAAACCATGTAAGTTGAGTCATGCTGTTTGAGGCAGATAATGTTAGCTAAATTGTTGACTTAATAGGCTACATGCCAATATTTTAAGCTAGTTAACAAAATATTGTTGTTAGTCTACCTATATTACATCTCTTGCTAGTTTACAGAGATAAACCCAATCCTCTTTAGTTTCTTTGCAGAAGTAGTGCTGGTTTGCTTTCCACATATTTAAAATAAATCTTTATGCCACAGTACAAAGAGCAAAGTCAGGGAGGAGACATTCAGCAGCAGAGACCATGATGATGGAGAGTCTTCTCAGGTAAGAACTTACTGCAGGGAGAAACCAGGCAGGTATGAGGACAGGGTGTTTTACAGATATTTCAGAAGTTTAGTTTGTTAACTTTATTCATTTATTTAAGAACAAAGTAAATTCAATATACATTAAAAATGCAAATCATAATTAAAATGAAAGGCAGCGGAATAGGGTTGGGCAATATTGGCAAAAAAATTAATCACGATTAATTGTGTTATTTAGCCGATAACGATTAATTTGACGATTAATCCCCTGGAGTCCCTGGACACACTTATTTCATAGTCACATGACCAATTTAGTGGGAAAGATTTGCTCTTCATAAAAATCTGTTCCAAATTGTGTCAAAATTACAGACTTCAGGCTGTACATCAAATTTTAAATTGTGTTGATAAATTAATAAATTACAGAACTTTTTTTAATGTTCATCTTATTTGAAACTGAGAGGAGCAGCGAGCGGACTCTGCCTGTTGGCATTAATCGTATTAATCGTCAAGTGCCAAAAAATAATCGATTGTTTTTCTGACGATTAATTGCACACGATACAATTATGCCCAACCCTACAGCAGAAAGAAGAAAAAAAAAATCTTATAATATTTGCTCCTTTTTCCAAACAGTATCAAAAATAATAATCTTTAAATAACAAAAACAACATTAAGTCCTTCTCAAGCAACAAATAGACACACATTATTCTGTAGGCTACTATTTCACATTTCTTTAACAAAACTACTTTCAAAACATCATTCTTTTAAACATACATTGATTTGGCATCTTTACATCACTCTCCAGATTATTCCATAATCTTTTTCCTTGGATTGAAGAACACCGTTCCTTCCATCTGGTTCTAAATTTAGGGTTCACAAATATCTCTTTTAACATAAATTTAATTGGATGATGTGTTTTTGTGAGCCCCATACAAAACCTGTAAAATATTATAATCAACCAAATCACGGAGTTTCAATAATAATTTTTAAACATTTGACTATTGTTTTGCATTATTTGTGTTCTTGTAGGCAGCAGGTGTAGGTCATGGCATTTTTCTTTATCTTGATTCATTTTGCACATCATGTTATCATATTTGACTAAAATGTTGATGTGTTTAATGCTGTGTCATTTTCTTTGCTCATGCCATTAAATTAAATTATGTGGCTTATTAATATGCTGCCACGTCACTAACATTTTGTGTGTTAAGTAATAATTTGTTTACAGTAAATGTGTTTTACTGAACATTTCATGTTCAGTGTTATCATTTACATTTGCCTGTAGATGCTGTAGGGTCATTGTGCCAAATCAACCAGAGTTTGGCAAATAAAACTTTAGATTTTGTTAAAGATAGATTAAGATTAGATTAAGTTAGATTAAGTTTAAAGAACTAAAGTCAGTCTCCTGGTGCTGGACTGTGGTTACTGATTGTATGTGAAGTTGACGTGAAGTTTTTGGGTGTTATTATCGATGAAAACCTTACCTGGGAACCTCATAAATTACTTAAGAACAAAAATAGCAAAACCTATTGCAGTACTACATAAGGTAAAGGAGTTATTTAATGATAAAGCACTGCTTATATTATATAATGCAATAATTGTTCCACATTTGATTTATTTTGTTAAAATTTGGGGTAAGGCATGCAAAACATTTACTAATTCTATTCTTATTTTGCAAAAAAGAGCTATAAGAATTATTACCAGAAAACATTATAGTCACCCATCAAATATATTATTTCATCAATTGAAATTACTAAAATTTTATGAGTTGGTTGGTAAGATTTTGTTGGTTATGGATAGGGCTCATAAAAATGTATTGCCTTTGAATATTCAATCAAATTTTGTTGAGGGAAATTTGTTATAATTTGAAAGGATTTGAAATGTTTATAAAACCTAAAATTAGAATAAACTTGAAGGATAGATGTACCTCAGTTCAAAGAATAAAATTGTGGAATAACTTGGACAGCGATTATAAAAATGCTGATTCCATTAATTTATTTCGTAAAATGACCAAAGTTAAATTGTTGAAAAGATATGAAGCTGATGTTTGAGGGGTTAATTTAACTGTTTCGTTATGCTGAGGAGGGTGTAAAATTGTGTGTGTGTGTGCGTGCGTGCGTGCATGTGTGTGTGTGTGTGTGTAAATATGTGTATATTTTTATTTTTATTCTTTTTTGTTAAATAGGAGCAAATATAAGATTTTTTTTCTTTTTATGCTTCCTTTCATTTTAGGAGATTTGTGTTGTTGTTTTTTTGTTTTGTTTTTTGTATTGAAATTTTTGTTTTTAATTAAAAAAGTATGTATTTCAGCCACTAAGGAGAGGTGTGATTGAACATGAGAATTTGGTAAATTACTACCATACCAGACACGATCCCTGGTGCAGACTGTGCAAAGAAGCCCCAGAAACAATCCAGCATCTCACAGTAGGGTGCAAGATACTAGCTGGAAAGGAATACATGGAACGCCATAACCAGGTGGCTGGAATAGTGTACAGAAACATCTGTGCAGAGTACCAATTGGAGACCCCAAGGTCAAAGTGGGGACCACCTCCTAAGGTGGTGGAGAATGACCGAGCTAAGATCCTGTGGGACTTCCAAATACAAACAGACAAAATGGTAATGGCCAACCAACCGGACGTTGTGATCGTGGACAAGCAGCAGAGGACAGCTGTCGTGATCGATGTGGTCATCCCAAATGAGGGAAACATCTGGAAAAAAAGAAACATGAGAAACTGGAGAAAAACCAAGGGCTCAGAGAAGAGCTAGAAAGAAGCTGGCAGGTGAAGACAACTGTAGTGCCCACAGTCCTCAGAGCACTTGGGGAAGTGACCCACACTGGAGAGGTGGCTCCAATAGATACCTGGAGAAACATCAGACATCTCAGTCCAGATGAGCACAGTCCTAGGAACAGCTAAGATACTGCAAAGAACCCTCAAGCTCCCAGGCCTCTGGGTTTTATCAATCAGGACAGGTGAAAAACAGCTTTTTAGAAATGCCTTTAGGTAAACTGCACATTTGGTTTTAAGCTGCAGCACATCTGAACAGTTATCTAGATAACTTAGTTAGAAACAGATGAGCTTGAATTTTAGTTGTTTAAAAAATATCAAAAACCAATGAAAGGGTAGAATAAAGTCCTGGTCTGTCATCTTTATCTTTTCATTTTGTTTCTCGTGGGCAGCGTGTCATTTCGACATTTCTTGTGGCTCTTAGATTCTCCTTTCTTACATCCTGCAGACAAGCAACTAAAGCAGACACATTTTCACCATGATTCTCCTCCTCTGACCAAATATTGTAACTGTTGCCTATCAGAACCCTCAGCTCCAGCCTGAGTCTCTGTCCTGTTGCTCTTGTTTTCAGTGGCATAAGAAGCGGAAGCGGCGTTCCTGTGGAGAATGTAAAGCCTGTCTGTGCAGGAAAGACTGCGGCACGTGTGATTTCTGTATAGACAAACCCAAATTTGGAGGCAGCAACAAAAAGAGGCAGAAATGTCGCTTACGGCAGTGTCAGCGGCAGGCGATGGTAAGAGTTTTGTTTAATGGCAACATATTTTGCCCTGTGTAGTCCTGCATTTACGTTTTTGCCTGTTTTGATGTTTTGCTTGTAAATGTTCCTGTGCTTAATTTGCTAGAGACATTTGCTGCCCTTCCAGATGGGGGAGATTGAGCATGGGCCAGATGGAACATTACCAGGCAGACCCAAACCTCAGTACACATACAGTCGGAAGTCCAGTTTCAAGAAAAACAGAGGACCAAACACGAGCTTGGATTTGACCGACAATGAAGATGATGAGATTAATTTACAAGCAGTAAGTGTCCATCATCTTTGTCAAAGAGTGTTGTTGTTACATATTACATATTACATATTATTCATGTATACAATTTACATATTACTTGTTTTTCTAATGAAATTAATGTCAAATGATCAATCACCTATGCAGGTTGGAAAACAAAGTGTTTTCACCTAGGGTTGCTACATCTCTCCAACGACACCCCCATGAAGGTCATGGCATGTGATACAATAATAGCTGTGTGTAAATGTTCATGTTACCAGTTCACTGTGCCAGGAGAGGTCATCACACCTCCTCAGGATCTCTGGAGTTTGGACTGTAGTGGGTCATCAGTCCAAYTACGATTGGAAATATATTCTTTCATGTCACCGGAAGTTTGTTGCAAAACAGAGAAAAGTTTATTGCTTTAACATAAGCGGTTACTGAAAACTTTTGACAAGAAATAAACCAGATCTACGCAGACAGCTCTGAGGTGAACTTAACACCTACATATAAACCTGTTGTGTCAAGAACGGACACATATAACTTCCAACATGTCCTTATTAGAACCAACACCTGACAGAAATAAATGAGGTGGACTAAGCACAAACAGTGTGTTTGGGTTTGAAATTGAATTGTCATTTAGAGGTCAAAACTGTTAYGAGGGAGGCTCAAAGTTGCTTAATGAAGCAAAAATTTAAATCTATAATAAAATCTGTTACTGGATGAACTCTAATCTCTGATGRCTTTTAAATTGTTCATCTCTAATTGATAACTGACTTTTAATCTCCCCCATAAAAAAMAAGTCTAATGCTCAAATAGCTGTCCAAAGCTTTTTGCCTATAGACAGGGGCATGCGTAGAAAAGTATTCAGAGGGATGAAATCAGGACACTRAATAGTGGAAAAGCGAGTCCATCACAGCTGGGCCTTCCTTACCCGACCAAACTTCTCACACCTCAGCCACAACACAGAGATAAAACTGGAAGCAGCTGCAAGTTTCTCTTATCAAACGCAAAACAAACTTGAATTCTTTGTGTTGTTGATTCCCACCCACCCARGGTCAGAACCCCAGGGGAAACGCTGCCACATGTAAATCTCATGTTGAAGCCGTTCAGAATGTCAGCTGAATTTGTCTTTCTGCAGCTGAACCACTCCGATTATGGGATGCGGAACGGACTGCCAGATCGAGCTCCTCACATCAGCAATCACAACTACTCTCAACCAGTAAGTTAATGTTTTTTTCCATTTTAGCAGATAAAAATGTTTTTAGGATCTGCACCACAGTGTTTTAAATGTTCAAATTATTGCCACTTCATAAATTACACTGACAGCTCAGCTGTAAAACAAACAGATCTTTTCAGATTTTATTTTAAACATAAAYACAGTTTTACTAATTAAACTGATTTGTTTTAAAGAAACCTTGAACCACGTGATAAACCTGCTTGAAAAAATGTCAATTTTTCCCCTTTTGCAGTAAAACAAGCATTTTATTTGAGCTTAATCAGAAAAATCACTTGGAAAACCCATTTTAGTCTGTAAAAGTATGTAATTTTAAAATAAAGCACGTGTAGCAACCTTGTTTAAAGTTTTAAAGCCGTTTGCTTTAAATGACCGACAGCTCAGAGGTAGATTGTTGTATTTTTCTGGATGATTGTGTAGAAATTATTGTTGCCCAGAGCCTAATAATAGCACAGACCCAAACTGAAGCATGCTGTTCTTTTGGCTGTGGCCTTTGGTTCTGAGTCCAGACTCTGATGCAGCGCTCAGCAGATTTTTGTTAACAGTGTTCGGTGGTTTGGTCTGAATCTGCTTTCATTCTGTGGTTAATTGTTTTTGCAACTTCAAATTTTCTGACCTTACAGTTTAGAGTTTTCTTTTTTCCTCCATACGACAGGAAATAAAGCTTTTTGTAGCATCTTGATGGTGTAGAAAAAGATTCTGCTTGAAGAGCGATGATTGGGAAACAATAGATCTATCTGAGCACAGATTTGGACGTTTAGAATGATTTGGTACCAGTCCTAAGCACATTGGCAGGAAGCCATACACAAAAGTTAATTTGATCTCGTAATGGATGCTGTTTATACTCTCCCCTTATCATCCCTCACTTCTTGGCTGTCCTTCAACATGGTTCTGTGGTCACTTTTTTTGCAAGTCACTTAATCAGATGAAAAAATCAGATTTTCCGATCCAAATTATCAATCCTTGAACAGTATTTTTATATTTTCCCATCCTTATCTTGGTAATTTAAGAGTAGGAAAATGTGAAGACTTTTATATTTTATTAAACAATCAAATCTTTCTTGTTTTGGATATTTAGCTCAAAAGTGTTTAAAATCATTGCAACAAGAAAAAGCCTTTRTAAGAAACTAATCTGACAGCAAAAACATTTTGTTATTTCCCATCGTGGAGCAAAGAGTGGACTTAGAAACACCCTCCATCTGTCTATCTTGTGAGCTGGATACGTTGAAAATAAATGAAGTACCAACTTCCACTTTGGTGTGTGGCTACATTTAGGAGGAAGAAATGTCAGTTTAAAAAATAGGGTCGCCACCTCAAAGTACAAGATGACCACTACTATATACATACAGTGGGGAAAATAAGTATTTAGTCAGTCACCWATTGTGCAASTTCTCCCACTTAAAAAGATGAGAGAGGCCTGTAATTGACATCATAGGTAGACCTCAACTATGAGAGACAAAATGTGAAAAAAAAATTGAGAAAATCATTTTGTCTGACTTTTAAAGAATTTTTTTGCAAATAATGGTGGAAAATAAGTATTTGGTCACCTACAAACAAGCAAGATTTCTGGCTGTCACAGACCTGTAACTTCTTTTTTAAGAGGCTCCTCTTTCCCCCACTCATTACCTGTATTAATGGCACCTGTTGTGAAGAAATCTACTGTGGGAGCGATAATCAGAAAATGGAAAACATACAAGACCACTACTAATCTCCCTCGATCTGGGGCTCCACGCAAGATCTCAGCCTGTGGGGTCAAAATGATCACAAGAACGGTGAGGAAAAATCCCAGAACCACAAGGGGGGATCTAGTGAATGACCTGCAGAAAGCTGGGACCAATGTTACAAAGGCTACCATCAGCAACACACTACGACGCCAGGGACTCGGATCTTGCAGTGCCAGACGTGTCCCCCTGCTTAAGCCAGTCCATATCCAGGCACGTCTGAAGTTTGCTAGAGAGCATTTGGATGTTCCAGAAGAGTATTGGGAGAATGTCATATGGTCAGATGAAACCAAAGTAGAACTATTTGGTAAAAACACAACTCGTCGTGTTTGGAGGAAAGTGAATGCGGAGTTGCATCCAAAGAACACCATACCAACTGTGAAGCATGGGGGTGGCAACATCATGCTTTGGGGCTGTTTCTCTGCAAAGGGACCAGGACGACTGGTCCGTGTACATGAAAGAATGAATGGGGCCATGTATTGTGAGATTTTGGGTGCAAACCTCCTTCCATCAGCAAGGGCAATGAAGATGAAACGTGGCTGGGTCTTTCAGCATGACAATGATCCCAAGCACACTGCCAGGACAGCAAAGGAGTGGCTTCGTAAGAAACATTTCAAAGTCCTGGAGTGGCCTAGCCASTCTCCCGATCTCAACCCCATCGAAAACCTTTGGAGGGAGTTGAAAGTCCGTGTTGCCCGCCGACAGCCCCAAAACATCACTGCTCTAGAGGAGATCTGCATGGAGGAATGGGCCAACATACCAGCAACAGTGTGTGCCAACCTTGTGAAGACTTACAGAAAACGTTTGACCTCTGTCATTGCCAACAAAGGATATACAACAAAGTATTGATATTAACTTTTGTTATTGACCAAATACTTATTTTCCACCATTATTTGCAAAAAAATTCTTTAAAAGTCAGACAAAATGATTTTCTCAATTTTTTTTTCACATTTTGTCTCTCATAGTTGAGGTCTACCTATGWTGTCAATTACAGGCCTCTCTCATCTTTTTAAGTGGGAGAACTTGCACAATTGGTGACTGACTAAATACTTATTTTCCCCACTGTATGTTAACCAGCCACCCCACTCATTTGAGTAAACCAGACTTTCTAGTTTTCATATTGCTTTAAAGAATAGTTTCTTCAGATAATTTGGTGGCTGAAACTCCACCATTTCATCTGATGTTGTATAAAATTGTTCCCTCCGTCACATGAATTGCCTCAGACAAGAAAAAAAACTACCTTTCCTCTTATACACAGTGCAACTCCTACCCACTGGATTGTTTTGCACCAGAAACATTGAGCTTTATTGTTATTGCTGCCCAGAGCCTAAACCTGCAGTAATACCTGCAACACCAGCACAGAAAAACAATCTTATTTCAAATCCTTCAGTGACAGGGGACATCAGCATACTGTTTGTTTGATTAGACACGAGTTAAAGTGCCTATGACATCATATTTTTGTCATAAATTTGTATTCATTTTTGGAAAAACAACACTGATAACATAATGAAAAACAAATTTCACGCCGCYRAGATGAACATTTGTAAGGATATTTTCATGTAAAGCAACCGGAAGTGATGTCAAAGGGGAATGTCTGCATCTGAGCAGAGCGTTGATTAAAAAATGTTTGACAGCACAGACTGTAGAAAAGAATCTGATGTTTCTTTAGATCATTTTGAGTCACTATCAGAGAGATGAAAAAGAGTCAAAGTTCAAACAATGTTTCAATAAATAAAGATCAGAGTGAGAGGGCTTTCTTTCTTAAAGAGTTCCCCTTTGATGTCACTTCCTGTTTCATTTTGGCTGCGCTAAATCCAAAAGAAAACATGCTGGTTATGTGACAAAATGGGTAAAATCATGTGYTTTATGCCAAGTTTCTTAAATATAAAAATGATTTCTTCATCTTTTTGTATTTGAAGGATTTGCACGTCACAGGCTCTTTAAAGACTTAATTGTCTCAGCTAATAGTTAATATTTTTAATTCCCCTTTATAGAGCCACCAAAGTCAATGGGATGCAGAAAGATCTCATACAGGCAGAAATGCATCAGGAGTTGAAGAAAACGAGGAAGACTTTCCTATGGTGAGTGTCCTGGTGATATTTTTCGAGTTAGCCAGTGATAATCCACTGTTTTCATGTTTTTGTTTTGTGTGTGTGTGTGTGTGTGTGTGTGTGTGTGTGTGTATTTTCTACAGATCACGCAGATCTTCAGTTTGGCTGACAACCCAAATGAGAGCAGTGTAGACAACGAAAACCAGCTGATGAAACTGCTCCACACCCTACGCTTGACCATAATGCCGATCCTGTGGTACGCCATCATGGTGGAGGGCCCGCAGCTGCAGCTCACCCAGTGTTCCAAGCAGTCCAGCATGGCCGACACCGTAGTGCTGATCAACCCCGGCTTCTACTATTACGTCACTGTCCAAAAGCAGCCGCTGCTCCCCACCCACCCGGTCTACGACAAATTCCCGAGYCGCCTAACCACGGCGACGGAGGTGGTCAATCTGCTGTTGGCCCTGGAGAGGTACGAAGTCTGCCGTGGACTCCCTCCAAAGGAAGCCATGCTTCAGGGAGGCCCGATCGTACTGGAGCGGGCGTCAACGTGTGAGTTCTTGGTCACAAACAAAGAGACGGTCTGTGCCAACTGCAGAGCTCTGAAAAGACTTTAAATGTACCGCTGGAAAAATGAAAAGTGACCCTAACAGAGACCACCAATATTTCTGCTGTTTTTCACAGTCCCGATAATTTATAATATGACATTTAACAGATTTACCTCTGGGCTGTGATAAGATTTGCCTATCTCAAAGATTGCCAAAGGAATTCCAGGAGCTGGATGAATATATTTAGCCTTTTCTTTTCCTCCAGATGTTTTATTGCACTGGCGTTTCTGCGTTCCTTTAGTCTGCCCTTTGGTTTATGTGCTGTTGGTTGATCTAGTTTTTTATATATAAGGAGTGGTTTTCATCCCTCCACCGTTATTACATCTCTGAGTAACATTCTCCTTACTTTATGCTGTGTTATGTTTTGGTCTTTCGTAATAAATGTCCCATTTTTGTTGCACCAAATTTTTTTTTACAAGTAGCATTTTTCTTATTTTATTACGTTTAATCTGTTTATCTGGTTACAAATCAGTTCATTAATCTGCTAACTTACTAATGCCCGTAAATGGTTGCACTGTGTTCAAACTGAGACGATAAATGTGAGCTCATCGTACGGCAAACATTTAAAGTTCACTAGGTATTTTTCTGACCACTTGTTTTTCTATGAATAGTTGTTCCTACGAAATAAAAATTGTCTCCTTGAAACACATCAGGAGTAGGTACTGCTGAGAAAAACAAGTTACATTTAAAAAAAATCTTATTTGAAAGCAAATGTGTCATGACTAGTTTGAGGCAAAATCCACAAAAGATTGAAAATAAAAGTGTAAGGAGACAAAGGTCGTATTCAGACCTGACACATTTGGTCCACTTTAAACGAACCAGAGTTCGTTTCCAGCGTTGGTCCGGATCTTTTCTGCAGGTGTAAATGCACTCATGAACTCTGGTGCGGATCAAACAACCGGACCGAGACCTGCTTTATGAGGTGGTCTTGGTCCGCTTCCAAACGAACCCTGGTGCGGTTCACTTCAGTTCTTCTGGTGTGAATACAGACCGGACTCTAACCGAATTAACTGCATTAAACATGCGCCTTCTTTTTGGACTTCATGGGCCACCATTGCTGAGCTAAATAAACTGAAAACAYACCTGTTTCATCGTCTCCTGTTAGCAGCTCTGCTGGCAGCATGAAGTGGGTCAGAACACGCAGAGCACTTCGTCTCCTTTGGGTCGCGGGACACATTTACTGACGTYGCTCCAAAATAAAAAAAAAATTAGAATATCATCACGGAACCACCATTAAATTAGCTGCTTCTGACATTTTAAATGCCATTGCAGTTGTACTATCAGCACATCAGACCTGCAGCATGCAGGACTTCCTTGTTTTCTTTTGGGTCTGTGGCTCAGTCCCGCCCCCATCCTTTTTTGTCCAATGGGAGCAATGATCGTCACCCTCATGGCTTTGTTTACAACTTATAGTTCATTTGCAAAAAAGCACATTGTGAATGCAAACCGCACCAAACGAAAAAAATAAAGTCCACTTTTGGTCCGGACCAAACAAGCGGACCAAAGGACTTTCCTGGTCTGAATACACCTTAAAATAAGGCTCGATTTAGTTGACTGTTCAGCTCAGTTGTCTTGTGCACTTTTACTTTTTGTGTAGGATTTGTTCTCCATAATAAAAAATTGAGCTGGAAGTGGTAATTAAACCCAAAAATGTTTAATCTTTGACAGAAAATGTATAAACCCACCCAGACTTGGTCGCCCCCTCACTTTCTGATCTTGACTCATATGTCATCTATTTAATTATCTTGAATAAGATTGAATTTTTTTTTATTTTATTCTGAAAGGGTTGGATGTTCATTGAATAACCTTTGACTTTTGAYAATGTGAAACTTTATGCATTCTTAACATGTATGTATTTTTGTTATCTTGTTTTCTTTACATGGTTCTGTAAATGTTATGGTTTGAAAACATTTCTTTCAATTAAAACATATTTGAAGAGATGTGCCATGATTAGTTTGTTTTATTCTTCAAACAAAAGTTGTGCCATTAAAGGTTTTTTTGACTGGTTCATCCATGTTCCAGGGTACTGTTAACTAACTTAGTGTGGGTTAGTTCGACAAAAACGTATAATCTGTTTAATTGTTAATCATCTTAAAAACTATGAAGATTATTTTTCAGTTAAGGATAAACTGCCCTGCTGGTTCTTGTCTTTTTATTTTTGTAATTTTATTGAAGAGTTTGCTGAATTATCAGATATTTGTGTTGATTACAACTTTTGAGTAATTACAGGAGAAGATTTTAATATTCATATAGTGGTTCCAAAGCTTCTCAGTTTTTGACCTACAAAATAACAGCAGAGACCTTTACCACCTACTATTTTTGGGTGAAAAACATTATTTTCAAGTCAAATAAACAAGGAAACAATATTCATTATGCTAYTTTCATCAAATTTTAAGTAACCATACTTCTTTGTAACATATAAAGCAATGTACGTTGTTTGAATTCCACTTAAAAAGGACTATGTTTCAGGACCACCAGTAGGGTCCTGATCCCACCTTTTGGGAACCGCCGATGTAAACAAATGTAAAGATGTAAACATGGACGTTTCTATGAACACTACTTGCTACCTTTGGTCTCATACATGTGAAATAGCCCCCATACACACTTCATGACCAAACTCTATGTTTATAAACTTGTCAAATTATTGTAAATATTCATGTAACTCCTGTCTATAAAGAAAAGGTTCATGTACAAAAATCCCAGGGCTCAGTTCATGGACACCATCAACAGGCAGTTGATGAACTCCTGGATAAGTTTAACTGGAAAATCTCAAATGTCATGAATGTTACTGCTCCTATTGAAAAAGAAGACAACCTTGAGTTGTCAGAAACCTCAGYGAAGTAAAGCTAAACCTAAGATTTATTTTAACCTTTATAAAAGACTTAGTTTAAACAAGTTAAACAGTTAAACTGCAATGTTGTTCTGACATTTTCAGTAAAAACATCACCATCCCTCTCATGGTTGATAAATTTATTCCCAATCAGATGTGTCCAGTATTCCTCTCAGAACAGGGCTATTCAACTAAATTGCTCTGGGGGCCACAGTAACTGCAGGCCAACAGCTGARGGGCTGAACATCCAGCAATTAAAGCCATTATATTAAATAAACCAAGTATTACAAAGTACCTTTGAAATAGTTTATTTTGCTGCATTTAATCATGAATACAACATACAGAACCCTATAAAAGTAGTGTTAATTAAAGAATATCAAAAACAAAAATAACACATTATGCCTCCTACTTAACATAAATATTATTTTGACATCTCTGACTTGACAATTTTTTTGTTGAGTGTTTATAGAAATTGTTTTACCAGCTTGTAACCAAGATTCTGATGTAGATACCAAACATGTCAATGTTTAACTAAAATAACTCATAGCAATTAAAGTAGAAAACCGGGGGTTTGGGCTTAAGAGATGRATGAACCAATTGGCGGGCTGAACTTTGGTCAATYGTGGGCCTCAAGTGGCCCGCGGGCCACCAGTTGAACAGCCCTGGCTTAGTTGACGGACTCACCAGTTTGAGAGTTGTCTGTAGGGTCGTCACTCGGAGTTCAGGCCAGGAGTGAGTTCTGGCATCAACTGAGCCCTCCTAGAGAGGACGGCCCGTCCTTCCATCAACAGCCTCAGGACAGATGGCTTCAGCTGGGCACTGTGGAGCAGGCGGCTTGCCTCACCCAAATCTGATACCGGATCTCTGCCGGGATCGGCTGTAAAGTTCTAAAGCATAAAATTAAATCAAACCATGTTTTCCTCAATTTGTTTAACCCACCAAATCTGAGAACGTCTGGTCACAAGGGTTAAAGCTGAACTCTCTCCTTTAGTTTTCTCTTCTGCAGAACTACTTACAGTTAGGTGACCCCTACACACAATAATCTAATGCATAAAGTCCGTGTTTTCTTGGTCAAACCTTGAAAAGTTGTTCAGTACACAAACCTTTAAAACTGAAAACAAACAAAAAAAGGCTATTTGTAAATTGTATTGATATGCTGATGACCCCCCCACCCCCCCCACCCCCCAGATGTGCGTGTGTCTGCAACAACTGGATGGAGTAAAAGAGGCGCACATTGGAGGCTGGCAGCATRTGGGGCGGGGTCTCGGTGACGCTGGAGAACTGCGGGTTGTGATTGGCTGCGGCGGGGTGGCGGGGGGCGGGGCCAGGTTCCTCTGAGATGCGCAGGGCTTCAGACGCAGCGGAGGTCGCGAGGCTGCTGCTGAATTATAATTGAGACGCGGAGCCGCCACGAACAAGGAGCTTTCTCATGTGTGAGAGACTCATTTACGCACATTTTGTTGATGGAAGCTAACTCCCGGAAGGGATTCAGGCTTGTTCTGTTGCGCCGGATTCTTTTTTTTTTTTTTTTTTTACTCCCATTTCTGTCAGCTTGGTTTTGTTGAGGAAGAAGACCGTGGAGACCTTCGAAGACATCGGTCATGCTCTCTGGTGAGACTGTCTTTCTTATCCTAATTGGGCGTAGAAATATATATTAGACAACACAGCCTGCATATTGCTCTAGAAGTCCTCTCTAAAAAGGGTGGCGCTAAAACAAATGACGCGTATTTATTCCACAAAATTACCCCCCCCCCTCCTCCTCCTCCTCGGCGTGGCACACCTGCTTCCATGAATTAGTCCTGTGTGGATCATTAGGAGCCGGCTGCAGCCTCCATGCAGAGATGCAGCAGGAGGGTGGCTCCTAATGAGAAAACACGCTGGATGCTGAGGGACACGTCTGCACATTAAATGCAAACACTGTAAGGACAACTATCTGTATTCAGCCAACACAGGAGCGCGCTGTTTGGGCTCTGAAAGGCAGGAAATGCCCGGATTGCAGCCGCATATAAATCTAAAACAGCAGCCTTTAATGGAGTAAAGAAGAAGGGAAAAGAACACAGTGTCAGGCTTTTAGTTATGGAGSCACAAGGTTTCTCACTTGTTTCACTCTGTGCAGAAGCCTGTTGTCACGCAGCCCTGTTATTACCAGATTCCTGAACATTAAAGGAGGCCTGTCTGGATGTGGAAGGAAAAACTCACCCACAAGGTGTTGTGTTGGTCAGACAGAGACCCCCCCCCCCCC